CAATTTAATTTATTAGACTATTTCAAAGGTTTGTCACATGGTTGCTTCCAACTTCTTAAATTCGAACCATTTGTTAATGAAACAACTGTTAGTGAAGTGATTGTCGACAACATGAATCAAACCAACATTTATTTTTATGTTATCAAATTCATGCCTGTTCTTATTCCTCCACTCAAACAAATAATTGTTCACAACACAACAAACACTATTTGGAATGTAATTGTTTTTTATGTGTCAATTCTTAATAAACGTTCTGGTCTTGGGGCAGTTCTTGTTTAATTCTTTTAATCATGGTAAACCTAAAAAAGTTGTACCTGCTATTCATAATCAGATTTATCATCATAATTTCCTTTATTCTTTGAAATATTGTTTTTATATTCATCAGCAGTTTTGGCAATGTAAGAGTTTCTTTATTAAATTGTTCAAATATACTTTCAGAAGTTAATTCACTTCTCATGAGTATTTCTCACTTGGCAATTATTTGCCAGAGAAAAATAACTTAATTTCTTTATTGATCTTTTGTACTGGTATTTATATAAAATTACAACTAATAAATAAATAACTATGAAATACCATAAATATAGAAACATGTGTTTCCCCGGGGCTCTTAGAATAAACTTAAAAGGAAACATAATTAATGGTTAAACTCTATTTTAATTTGTATGTTGTGTTTACCAATATTTTTCTACATTGCACAATAATTAATAAATAATGAATAATAATGTAAACGAAAAATTAGTGTGTACTACATGGTATTTTTAACCATTACATAGGCTGTACATACTAAATCCAAGCAAGTATGAGATACAAACCTTTTTATTAAAAGGGATGCGAAAAAAAATACTATATCATATATGTGATTCTATTATGTTTAACATTTTCTATAAGACTTGCTCTAAATGAAAAAAATTATAATGTTAAATTTGTAAAATTTATAGCTCAAGATAACTATGGTGTCTTCTCATTCAAAGAAAGCCATTCACATGCTTTTGTAAAGCTTTTGGATGTTTCCATACATGTTAAGTTATATTCATGAAGGATATTCTTGTTAGATTCACAGACAGACTATATGAAGCAAAATGATAAAAAAAAATAATATAAATTTCAACAATTTAAGGAGTCATTTTAAAGAGAAAAAAAATATTATCTTGACAGTAAAAAGGAGGCTAATAATGTCAGTAATATTAAAGAATGAAGCATATTTGAAAGGATATTTTACTTTCAGGATTCTTTCGACTGCAAATGTTTTAGCAAAAGCTAAGTTAACCCTAAATGACTTGCCTTCATCTTTTATATATATTTTTAAATAGGGTAATATTATATACAGAACCTATGTGACAAATAAGGATTAATTCTTAGAGTTGGTCAACACTGTGTAATTCCTGCCACCCCAGCCCACAAATTTAATCATCACGTCCGTGATAAATGTCACATTGGTTTTACAAAAATTTTGAGCTACAATTTAGTTTCCTTTTTTATAGAATGAATTGCTATTTTTGGTAGGGTTCTGTATATTCCATAAAAAGAACCTTTCTGTATATAATATTTTCCATTTAAATAAAAAACATACAAAAAAAAACAAACTTACTGTGCACCATGTATGCAAGTACATAATATTGTGTCACTAACTTTACATCTCTATCTCCCTTCCAGAATGTTCTGCATATAGAATCCACACAATTGCAAAAGCATTTGAGAAGATCTTGATGATGTTTACTACCCTTTGTTACTAGGGGTGGTTCAACATTCTCGAATATAAAGAATTCTTGATTGTTATCATAATTGAAAAGAACTCCATAAGCTTTACATGCCGAAGCACCAATACCATAAACTAATTTGTGATGCCATTTTGAGGATGGAACATCACTTTCATTCCTGTTGAAATAAGTTATGTTATATTAGCATATATAAAATTGAGTTTGTCGTCTTCATTTAACTTACCATAATGAAACAAACAGTACTGGAAAGCATATTTTTAAAAATTCAAAATCCTGAGATATGACTATAGATGTATACATATTTTCATCCATTAATGATACATCAAGTTGGTCACCATGTCCTGCTCTAAGTTGGAGGAGTTTGTATTTGAGTACTCGTTTTATAAGATCAAATTGATCATCATTGAACCCTTCAATTTCTGTAGTAGCTCAAAGGTTTGATAATGTATCATTTATTTTGTGCTAGAAGAAAATTAACAATTAATCAAATGGATAAATAAAAGGTATATATAATCTTTTTTTTTTACCTTGTAATTTTTTTGAGCCAGTTTTTAAGCCTGTAAATGTTAACCTGGGGGGATGGCATAGATTTGGCTTGTTCTTTTAATCTTTTAAAATGACACTTCTCTGCAAGAGTATTATTTGCACTGATGTTTATTATGTTTGCTTTGATTAACCTGTTCCAATAAATTAGTTTATTAAAATTATTGGTTTCGTAATCATTGTTGAGATTATTTTAGTACCTTTCATCTAATTCCTTGTCAGACAAATCATCATTTATTAATTCATCATGATTGATTTTTGAACAACAATTCTTACAAATGTTAGTACTTTCTTTTATTTGATGTAAAAAATTTAATTGTACTTGAGAATGCCCTAATTCAATGGAATTTCTATGAAATCCAATTGTACTTTTTTTCACTCTAAACTAGAGTGACAATGAGTGGTGGGTGATAACCACCACCACCATCCTTAAAACACTTACCCATATGTATCTTTATCTGTTTTTCTCAATTTCTTTTTTTTTGTTGTAAAAAAGACATCTTTAAAATCTTTAGAAAAAAGAAGTTTGTTATTTGATCAATGTGTACACATTAATTATTTATCCTATTGGTTTTTTTTTTGGTAGGACAGACGTGAATTGATTGATTTTTTTTTTTTTTTGGAAAAACAAAAAACAATTTATTTTTTGACAGAGTCCGAGGTGACAAAACATGAGTGTTGTTGTTTCATTTGGTTTGGTCTCCTAAAGGATATGTGTTAATAACTAACCAGAGGTACTTTTTTTTATTTGTATTGTTGATGTCATGTTTAAGGTTTCTGGTCCAAACTGTTTTCTCAAAGCCCAAACTAGTTAGGGCAATTTGGGCTTATCAACATTTTTTATAAGCATGAACATTAAAAAACTATATGAATCAACTTGTTTTAACTTAAGCAACTTTAAAATAATTTTGCCAATTTTGGCTAATAACAAAAAGTAGTTTGGGCTTATAAAAAAATAATTTTTGCCCAAAGTATTTGGGCAATTTCGGCTACTAATAGAAGCAGTTTCGACCAGAAACCTTAGTCATGTTGCATCATGACAATGCAGCACCACACAAGGCAAAGGTTGTAACCGAATATCTTCAAAAAGAACAAGTTGTAATGCTTCCCCACCCACCCTATAGTCCTGATCTGGCTCCCTGTGATTTTTTTTGTTCCCTAAAATTAAGAAAGAACTTGGTGGGAAGAGGTTTGAGAGGATTCAAGACCTTGCACATGCTGTAAAATCAATAACAGATATCACGAGAAGAGTACTTTAATTTTTTTCAGAATTGGTGTATGAGACTGAGACATTGCATAGAAGTTGATGGAAGCTATTTTGAAGGAATGAGTTAATATGTAAATAATAAAATAATAAAATAGTGTCAGAAATTTTGAACACCCATGTGCACATAAAATGTTGTTTATTGGATATTTTTAAAATTTAATATCTCAGTAACTAGCAAACTAAAAAATGTAACCTTTTTTTATTTTAAAGATAAGAATGACTAATTTTATAACAGCCTTTTCAAACTCATCGCATCTAAAATTATAAAGTTACATGACTTCATAATAGAAATTTCCAGTTGATTTTATTGACAATCCTTGAAATTTAATATCTCAGTAATTAATGAATTAAAAAAAGTAAACAATTTTTTATTTGAAAGAAGAAAGCGAGTCTTTTATTTAAAAAAAAATTCAAGCTAATTAAATTCAAGATTATAAAATCACAGGTCCAGTGACAAACCTTTTTGAACCCCCACGTATATATAATAAAATAAATGGAATTTCCTTATATCTATAATAAATAGAATTGGTGGGTGAATATATATAATAATAAAGCTCCTAACGGGTCGGGTCCGGGTTAATTTCGGTTTAATAAGAAAATTCTGTGATTTACATAAATGCAGGTAATAGTAATTAATTGAATATAAAAGGCGCAACAGTTATAGTGGTTTAAAAGCTGCAATTGGTGTTATGCGTGACGCAAAACACAATTCATGATGCAAGAGATGCAGGACGCAATTCGTGACTCAAGACGTAACTCAAGGCGATTTGTGATGCAATAGATACATAATTAAAGACACAAAGCTAGCGAATGATGTCCGGGAACTAACCATAGTTTAGGCCTAATCTTGCGGCAAAGTTGGCGAAACTTAAACTGCGTGTTGTTTTATTGAACAAAAAAAAAAGAATTGATTTGTTTTATTATTACAAGCCGAATTAGGTCAAAAAAAGAATTATTTTTATGATAATCATAATCTTTTTTAATAAATATAAATAAATAATAGGAATGCAAATATAAAATATTAATAAAAAATACAAAACGAGACTATATAGATCACATGTCCGGCATACGATTGGGCGGTACTTCGATAAATCCGTTTTATTTATCATAAAAAACTTTGGTCATGGTTTGACAATTTAACCACAGTTTAGGAGTTTACCCATGGTTTAGGTAATTTTTAAGTTACGTCACTGAGTATATTAATATAAGATGTATAAATAAATTAGCCTATCAAATTAAAACTTATAGTTAGTGTCTAACTAAAAATTTTGGGCTTAGAGATTAACTACATGTGAATATGCAGTGTGACTCAAAAAAATGATGTAAAATTATTCAAAGTTGTCAAAAATTTTCCCATTTGTTTTAATAATAATAAATGTAGTTAGATGATTTACATGTTTGCTAACACAAAATTAGAAGCATAACGTAAACCATTTTGCATTTTTGGATGAATGGTATCCATTCACAAAAGGAATACAAACATATATTCCTTTGTGCCATTGAGAAAAATTAAAGAATCCGTTCTATTGAACACAAAGGGTCATCCATATAAGGTTACACAAAACTTGACACGTTTATTGGACAAGTTATTCGCTGTTTCAACACACCAATTTGCAGTTAAACGCATAATGTGTCAATTTCACAGTTTACTGTTTAATGACATATGAAAAAAAGGTTACAAAAGTTCCGTACCCCGATACTAACTACACGTCACTTTGAAGCTCGGTAAAGCTCATTTGAACGACAAGTGGAGTCGTAAATCCTTACAGATAAAATAGCATTTGATCCTTTTCATTGGTGGCATAAATGCCAGTTTGTAGATTACCAAAATCACGGCAAAAAGTAATGACATGGAGAGGAATTTCATTGATATCATGGTTGGGCCTTACATGTTAACATATTGCAGAACCAGCTTTTACCTGCTCCACAAAGGTCGCATGATAGAAACTGGCGTTTGCGATAATCCGAAGCAAACATCACGTTTTGCGAAGATTACATTGCTGAGAATAGGATTGACTTGATTGACTGGCCATTCAATAGACCTGATCTCAATCCGATGGAGAACATGTGGTAAAGAAGAACGCTTAAAAATTTGATGAATTGAAGCAATTTATGGTTGAAGAATGCCTCAGTAGACAGTTAAAATATTATTATGTCTGTAAAAAAGAGACATGAATTAGTTTTAGAAAAAAACGATTATAGAATTTCTTATTAATTTAAATAATATACTTTTTACATATCACAATTTGTAACTTAAAAAGGCTTTAAACATCTAACGAATGATATATTAGCATAATACAAGAATTCAGCAATGAAACATTCTATGACAATTCCATGAATTATATCTTAATACTATGAAGTTGAGATGCCATGCAAAACTTACGACGGCTGTGTTTGGTTATTTCTTTTAATATGATACATAGAACACAAGCTAAGATGGTTCAAAAAAAAACAATTGAGCGGGCACACACAAATCCATTCTAAGATAAAAAAAGATAGGCAAGTATCAAGATCCAGGAGAAAGGCAAGACACACGTAAATTGATTAATAATCGGGACGATTGATTGATTGAATTGATTGATAATATTAATGCAGTACATATTCAATATCAAACAACATAAAAGGAAATATGTGAAATACAGAAGAAGCTCATGAAATAGAGAGAAAAGCAAAAGAAGGATTCACCAAGCTTAAATTTACAAACTTATTTATTCATATATTGATTCACGTTATTTTAAATATGTTAAATTTGATCGTTAATTTTATCTTTTTTGATTGGTTGAGTTTTTTTAAATGATGCAATAGTTTTTTTAAATGATGCAATAGTTTCCCGAAATCATGTCCTTTTTAAGTTAAACGAAATATACATTATTGAAGAAGAAAGAATAAAAGTGGCTTTAATAAATTCATTTACAGCAAATGAAACCAAATTATTATCAATCGTTTTATTATTGTATGAGATTTCTTTGGTCAAGTATAAATGTCCCATACCCTGATCTATAAGATACAAAGTAAAGTATTCAAATTATAATATTAAAAACTTGCGCGATAACTCTTTAAGTTTCGATTTTCTATGTATATGCATGCGCAGACTTGAATAAATGGCATGGAACAAATATATTATAGCGTTAAATGTTGTATCAAACAAATTACCTGATTTACATGGCCACTTAACAGTTGTTTCTTCAAGAAATAATTTATCATCAATCGAATTTAATATGCTCGTTTGATCTTCTTCAAATAATGCCATAATATGTTTCTCTGATATTATAAGATATATACACATCTATGCATGCATTTTAAATGCACACAAACTATCAAAATTCAAAACTTCACCATTAATTGTGATCGTAAGTAACACATGTAAAGCAGAAGTTTGAATATGATTTTGTGTTTTAGCTGCTGTGAAAAATATGTTCAACGACAACATTAGAAAAGTTTTCCGAGTATACGCATGCATATTTTACATTTGTGGATATGTATATTAATATTAATATACTACCAAAGATGTCACACTGTATGTACTATGGCGTGCAGATTTTTGGTTTTAAATTGTGTGCATATTTGTCTTAATGCATATAATATATATTATCAGAAAAGGAAAAAAAATCACCCGTTATAATAATAAAGGGGTTTTTTTCCTAGGGGTAAGTAAATATATTAATTTAGAATATATGGGGCATGCTCACCCAATCCAAGAGGTTTAACCTTAGGATCGATGTCTCAAATAGTAAGGTTAACCCTTGTTATAGACCCTTGGATTGGCTGGGCATGCTGCAACAAAACCAATTAAATAATTGGGGGACATGTAATTGTTGTAAATTATTATTTAAAAATCAAAACAGTTGTCGAAGGCAGTTTAAGACCTATGAAATTCCCTGTTGAATGGAACACCTCACCACCAGACTTAAGGTTGCTTGCCAAAACTCCTCCAGAAATCAATCAGCGGGGTTTCGTCAGGTTACACATTAATTGTTTATTATACTTATATGTTTTTCATATGACTCAATTAATTGCATCAAAAAGTCACCCCATTGAGTCAAGTGTAAGCATGTTAGCTGAAGTTGGCTCTCTTAATAATGGTGAAATAGTTTTTCATAAATGCTGAAGTTAATTTTATTAGTTGCCAAAATTATATCTGAAATTATTTGGACTCTTTAATTAAATATTAAAAGGCTGGGTAGATTTTTTATGTAAATCCAAAATTGCTTACCAAAATTGATTTTTTCAAAAGCCATTTTAACTAACATTCTTATCAACCTATTTCTACCATAGTTAACAAGTTTGGAAATTGTCCATATAATGAACAAGCAAAATCAGTCAATTCTCTTGGAAAATATATTAACTTAAAAAAAATAAATACAATGGAACAAGTTACAATAGATAGATTCATGTCTTGAATTTTTTTTTTTAATTTAAAAATTTTAATTAGTGTCACATGAGTCACCAATATGTGCAGCCAATAAAATGCTTTAATTCCCTAAATGCACTAAATATCATTCCCAAGGAGGGTTGACTGTAACAGTTTTAAATCGAATTTAATTAATGAAAAGAAGCACTAACTAAATTTATGGTATTTTACCAAAATCATTTTCCTGTTGCTGTTTCATTATATACAACATAACAATCCATTGCAGATAAGAAGGATGTTCGAATTTATCTCGCGCATAAAATTTTAAATTTTGCAATGTTCTCAAAGGAATTTCTTATACATTCCATTTTCTTGGCTGGCATTACCTAACTCGCCGGGATCAATTTTGGAGCCAGAATTTCAGCTGATGATCTTTTGTTCTGATTACTGGCCGCGCGGGTCTATTTTTCATTTCCAAACTTCTTTAATCTGGTAGCGCACTCACCTAAATTTAAACCTATTGAATTTACTTCAACTGTCACTGCAGAAGTAGGAATCCCAATATTTTGCTATAAATTCCGCAAAAAATTGTTTACGAAACCAGAGCTCGTTGAACAACACCCAAAAAAATAAGATAAATGAATTAATTGCCTTGGCATGAAAATTTTCGATAATTTATATACAACCCTAGAAGAAAATATAACAACAATAATAATAAATACAATAGCCTTTTTTAGAAATATAATGTTTTCCCCCGCCAAGCGGTATTACAAAATTATTCATCGTTGATCGTCCGACCACGAATTAATTAAATTAATCAAACCAATTTTTTATTAGTTATCGAAAAAATACTCATAATAAGCATAACTACGCCACAAGGTAAGAATAACCTGATTTGTTCAAAACCATTTTTTACAACTAGAACATATTAATATTAATATTACTGTATATAAAATGGTAATTTGGAACCACGTAAAAAAGCTAAGCTATTTATTATTTACTATATGTTATCATAATTACGAGGGTCCAGAGGTTGTTTTTTGCTGAAGACCGAAAATGACGTAAATGTTAGCATAGTCAGTATAGTTATTACATCCTTCTTTCTTGTATGGCATTTTCCCTTTAAGGCACTACCATAATTTTTCTTCAAGTATTTAGAACCTTGGGTTGAACCCTTGAAAAATCTTTGGTGGGCTTTGCAATCAATGATTGGCTGCTGTGGCTTAATACCTCTTTATATGGATAGATAGGTGCAATTGAACACAAAAATAAAAAAACTCGAGTTTATTAATAGAAAATCCTAAAAGTAAAAAAAATTTATTAATTTATTAATTATGTGCTACCACTTTTTAATGTAATAATAATAAATAAAACAATAAATAATAATAAATAAATAATAATGCTACTTATACATGAACGGACGAACCTTCTTCTCAAAAGAAAAACTCAGAAAATTTTTATTTATTTTAATTTTAATAAAAACTATTCTATAAAATAAAATAAGATAAAAATATTCTTATTTTTTTCTTTATTTTTAATATTCTGATCATTACTGACCTCTTTTAACTTAAAGAGATTAACATTCATTCTTTTAATTAATATATAAATAAAAAATTGTTATAATACATTCATAATAGTAATACATGGGCTCATTACCCCTTTTTAATCAATGGTTTATATGGCTTTTTGCCTTGACAACATGGATAATATGTGTTAATGGTAAATTATTATTTTCATTCAATTTCAAAACCATAACTTAAACTTAAAAATATTAATTATTTATATCTTTTTCAGCTGATAGTTATTCATCAAACCCTTTGACATATTTGGAATTTGTTAGTGATCCTAGTATAGATATACTTCCTAGAAATAGATTTCAGTCACACAATCAAGGATATTTAATACAAGATTTAGATGATAAATCATTACGACATGATGACTCAATGCGTATACGATTTATAGCGTTTAATAGGACATTTAATCTTCATCTTGAACCTCATTACGATTTATTACATCCCGAAGCCACCATCACCATTCACCATGCAGACGATACCAGCACTACAACACGATTACTACTTGACGATCATAGATTGTATAAAGGATATTTATTAGATGTTAAATTTACCGATAAACGATTAACCGAGGATATGATTGGTTTAAAGAGAAAATCCTTATCAGAAGAACTTTTTGGTTCTGTTGGTGTCCTTGGTTGGGCAAGTATTCATGTTCACGATGATGGAAGGTAATTATTATTATTAACTTTGAAAAAAAAAAATTTTTTTCGATGTAATATTTAACAATAGCAAATTAATTGTAATTTTTTTTTAAGTCAATCAAACAGGAAACCAATATTTGAAGGCGCATTTTCCTATAATAATGATATATATCATATTAAAACTATCGAGAATTTCAAAATAACCCAGTTTAGAGATGATCCAGCAATACCCAATCTTTCTGCACGTCATATTAATCATCGTTATGCTACAATGGTTATATTTCGTGATTCTGATATAAAAAATTCTGATCATAATCGAAGATCTTTAACCGATGAAAATGTACAAACTTGCGGCAGCGATGATATTCTCGGTATCAAAACTAACAGAAATGACCATCTTTTAACTCATACTGATGAAAATTCTAATCCACTTTCTCCATGGTGGAAAAGATTGGACTTTAGTTCAAACATAAAAGGAAACTTGGATGTTTCCTATAATAGTAATAGTAATAATTTATTTAAAAGAGGTGCGTCAGGTTGTCCAGATGCTAGAAAAGTTGCTTATATGGTTTGTTTTTATTCTTTAACTTCATTTATTTTATACACTTATTCCCCCCAAAAAAAGAACTCTTCTAATCAAGTCATTTATCCTATCAATGAATATTCATTCAAAAAAAAAATGTGTTTAGGGTGCAGCCGCTGATTGTACATATGGTATGTTATAATATTATTGTCGGTTTTTAATTCTAATTAAATTATAAATTACTTTATAAATTCAAAATAAACCTTATTTCTCTAAAAAAAACCCTCCCTTTTTTTTTCCTAGTCACTTCCTATAAATCGAGTGATGCAGCTCGAAAACAAATACTCACTGATTGGGGTACTGCATCTGCTGTTTATGAAAGAACTTTTAATGTGACGCTTGGTCTTATAAAAATTGATATACGTGATGCAGCATGTCCTGCTACCCCCGATAATGCCGTACCTTGGAATAGAGATTGTAGTGATAGTTATTCTATAAATACTCGTTTAAGTGATTTTAGTTTATGGAGGGGAAAACTTACTAGTAAGTATATTTCCCTCGTTTATTTAACTATTTTTTTCAATATAAAAAAAATTTATTTTTTGGATAAATACGATCAAATTTTAATTATTAAATATTTTATAGATGATACTGACACAGCTTTATGGCATCTTATGTCAAAGTGCAAGTAAGTTGAAAGAAAAAAATATTATTTAGTTATTATATCATCATAAACAACATTGATCTCATGTTGTTTAAAAAAAATTTTTTTTTAACTTGTGATGCTTGCTTTTAAATAAATAGTACTGGACCAAAAGTTGGTGTTGCATGGTTAGGTCAGCTTTGTACGATGACAGCAAATTCTCAATCCACTGGTAAATAAATAAAAACTTTTTTATATTATATTTCCATGTATTTATTATATTTATTATATATTTAATCACTCGTAATCATAATTAAAATTAATTTAGATCAAGGTACAGCGTATGTATCAGGAACTGGTGTATCAACCATAGTTAAAGATGAATGGAAAGTTGTTGCTCATGAAATTGGACATGGATTTGGTAATTAACATTAAAAGTTAATAATATTTACTAATTATAATTGTAATAGTATTTAACATTATAATAATAATGATGATGATAATGATGAATTTTAGGTGCATCTCATGATTGCATAGCAGCAAATTGTCCTTGTGCCAGTGTTGCTCAATGTAATTGTTGTCCATTATCCTCAACTGTTTGTGATGCCGGCGGCAAATATATAATGAATCCAACTAGCAATGTGCTTACAAATGATTTTAGGTAAAAAAAGTTTTATTTATTTATCAAGGTTACTTAAATATATGCATATTAATTAATATGTATTATT